GTCAATAAAGAATCCTAGTTTGTTTTTTGGGGTTTTTTTTGTAATTATGACGTCACATACTGTCCACAGTCACCAGGCAAGTCTGTGGTCGATCCCTACGGCCAGCCTTAGAGTTGGTTGCCTAGATCTTCAATTCCACCCTGCTCACGTTGTGTTTGTTTTTGCTCACAAGGCGAGTGAAGGCCAAGTTGTATACCCAATGTTGCTGATCTGGCAGATTTGGTGAGATGATGTCACAAGGAACAAAGTAAGAGAGAGCTGTGTAACAACTTTATATCAAATACACAATGAATGTTCTACTTACTAAATTAACAACATGCAGATTTTCAGCACTTTTCCTCTTAATACCCCATGACACTATGTTTAGCCACCCTCGGTAAACTGGCACAAGGCTAAAGTCTGATTTCTTCCACTCTGTGATTTCTTTCAGCTGACCATTCAGTTGTGTTTGCTAGTCTGGGACAAGGCTGGAGTCTTCTAAGTTCTTTCTTTAGAAGTTGTGTGGGGTTTGGCAAAGCAGGTCTTGAACTAACTGGCAACACATCTCTCTCGCAAACAGCATCTTGAATTGACTGGTTCCTTCTTCTGTCTCTTGCTTCACTCATTTGTATGAATGGACCCTCACACAAACCCAGCACAGGGCATAAGGTGGTTGTGGGTTCCCAGGGAAATCACAACATCTATACAGAGCCTTTTTTTGGTCTGAACTTGGGAAATTGATTACCTGACCAGATTTGGAGAGATCCCTCCCCCAAAGAGTTGTAGTGGGGTAGAATATTGATCTGACTAACTCCTTTCATCTCATGTGAGCACCTCTCACCATCACTGCCTGAAGGGTGCAGGCAATTCTTCAGCCTTCCTTGAAGTTCTACCTGGGCCTCTACCCCTCTCTCAGTCTCCTGATCAAACCTGTTCCCAGAGGCTAAGCATGGTCTAGCCCCCTAAAACAATTCCTTTCTTTTAATAAATTTTATCATCTTAGGCAGATGACAAAAAAATATAACGACAACTCCATTTGTTTCCCATTGGAAACATGTTGGTCTTAAAATCCAAGTTTTTATCAACTGACCAAATTTCAGCCAAAGATCTGCTTCTAGCCTTTGTGGATGGACTTCCTATTACCTATTTCATTCAATGAGTGACCCATTGATGTTCTACTAACCTGTTCCCTTGTTGGCATGGCAATTGATATTGTTAAAATGTAATCTATTCTTCCATGTGGGGTCGATTGGACACTTAAGAAAATACCATCACTTAATATTAATTTGACCAAAAACAGATGTCTTCTATACTACCTGTCTCAACTCCAGGGTGGGAAGAGAAAAGAAATATCATTTTCTTCCATTTTTCTTGTCTTTTTATCAGTATACTATTCTATCGAAAAACATTGTTTTTCTTTCTTGTTTTCCAGTTTATTTTGAAAGTCTTTTCCCCCAATTTACCAGAGCCCTTTTAATAGTGTCACATCATTATATTATTGACAAACGTGAGTTTTGTAGATACTAGGTTAGAGAGAGAGAGAAAGAAAAGAAACAAGTGACTACACAAGCTGAGAAAAAAAAAAAGAGGTCATTTAAATAAATGAGATTTTTTAATATTGTCCCGGCCTGATTGGGTAACGTGTCCGCTCAACCGTGACAAAAAAAAAAAAAAAATGATATCATTTCTCTACTATTTCAAACTAAGGTTTTGAAGAGCAAATTCCAATGTGTTTTTATAATAACTGTGCCACTGCAAATAAGTGAGATTAGAGAACGATCCTATTTTTATTTAACTTGTTGACAGACAACGTCGGGCTACAAAGACTTTATGCAGATTTAAAATTGTTAATGTTAGTGTTTACACTACAAATCCAGTCTTAAAAACTGAAAAAAAAATCACGTTAATTAATTGCAACAGTTCTTATTCAAGGTTCAGTAGTACTGCTTGAAGTTTTGGTTAAGAAGACTTGATTACTAATAAAACAAAAAAAGCCTTTTTAGGGCGTAGGACGAAGGGGCGTTTTTTCAGATACGCTTTCTTTTAAAATAGACATTTTATGATTTTAATGTAAAATATTAGGAAAAATTACTTTTTTTTTCAGCAGTAAAAATAGATTCTCTATGGCATACGGAAGATTAAAAAAAAACGAAACAAAAAAAAACATTGCATTTACGAGGACGACGCAATGCAATTTTTTTTTTCTTAAAAATGTTTCTAGCTTTTTGAATAATCACAAATGGCCATTTGAGTTGTTCAAATTAAAAAAAAAAAGAAAAGTAGAAAGCGTATTATCTAGCAATTATTTTTCAAGTGAGGATAAAAAAAAAAATTATCAAAATCCTGGTCCCAACTACTGATCCTAGCTTACCTTTTTAAGTTTAAAAGGTAAGCGAAGATAAGTAGTTGGCTGTTGGCACCAGGGTTTTGAATTTACTTAACTTTCTAAGTTCGTCAGTTAGATTGAATGTTAAGTTGTTTTTTTTAACAGACAATCTAACTAGCGAACATTGAAAGTTAAATTTCTGAAACCGCGAAAGCAATCAAAATATTAATTGAATACCTAACAAATATTTTTGTGTTGATAAAAAAGTTTTCATAATTCATTGTGTACCAAATTTTAAAATGCGAGATATTAAGAAAGTGTTCATTTCAGCGTTGACACATTTTCTTTTATTAATTATTTTGGGTTTTTACGCCTCGTTTTTTAATATTCAAAGAATCAAACAAAAGGAAGCACAAAAAACACTTGTGAAACTGCTAGTTAATTTCGAAATGTTCTTTTCATTCATAGAAAATGGTTTTGGTAAGCTTCCAAGACATTATTTTTTTTGCATTAATCTTCAGAAACAATCTGAATGAGAACATGATATTTTTCACTACTTACTGAAAAAAAAACAACAACAAAAAAACAAACAAACAAACAACAGCCAAAGCACAGGAATGAAGAAAAATAATTAAGTTTTAATTTTTTTATTTATACTTTGTTGAATTCCTTTTTCTTAGTAAAGAAAATGCTATATAGGTGTGTAAAAAAAACACACACATAATTCAAATTGCGATATAAATTCCACAATAAATTAAAATTGAGTGGTGAAGAGGAACTAAGTGTAGGAATGTTTTTTTTTTTTTAATGTCATTTTCACACGAAAGAAGCGATCTCCAAAACATCTTTAATTTAATTTTTTTTACATTATTTGCCATTTTTTATCAATACTATTTATTTTGATCGCAGTTGAAATTGATAATGTAAAAATATGAAATAAAAGTTAACCCCAAAATAATCATTAAAAACTAAAAAGAAAAACTAAAAGCCCACATACATAAAAAAAAAAAGTCGAAAAATTATCGTAGACATCATAATCCGATACCGACTCACACATTCGGTTTGGGTCAGGAGTGAAGAAATATGAAGGTAAAAAAATCTGAGTTGAATCCGCAAAAAACTATATAGAAGTACTGAAGATTTTCAAGCTATAAACTGAAAAATTACAACTAGAACTTAATTAGTTTAAAAAGGCGGAGAAGAGGGCAATTTATTATTTATATTTATTTATTTGTGCATAACACCTGTACAGGTAAAATTACGAGTATGTCAAGTTGTTTTCGTTAAAAATAATGTCACTTCTTTTATGTCACAGCCTATAAAAATTTACAGAAGCTTAAAAAAATCAAACAAGTATAGATTACTGTTAGAACAGATTGATCATATACTGGAGTAGATAAATAAATAAAAAATAAAATAAGGGGGCCTTGGCCGTCTTGCATATGATACCGAAAAAGGAAATGAAGAAAAGTAATAACTAGCAATTTAATTTTTTTTCTTTTTCATTTGAGTATTTTTTTTTATTCAAGAGAATGCTGACAAAAAATAAATAAATAGCTGAAATAAGATAAAAATCGTATTTATTCGAAAGAACAAACTATACTAAAATGTTAAGTTTTTAACTGAAACTAAAAGTAATTTCCAACATTTTCAATCGAAATTAAGCAAAATAGGTTTTGATTTTTCTTAGTTTAAAACTTGCAACTTCACGATGTTAGCCAGAAGTAAATTCAGATAGATGGGATGAGAAAAAAAAAAGAAGCAGTATGAAGCCTTTTTAGCTTTAACAACGATTATTTTTATAAAAGTAATTTTTTCAAAACTTAGAACTTAAGGTACGATAAAATGCGGTAACATAAACTAAACACGTTTATTCATAAACGAAGACATGAAAAGCATTATTTTTCTAAAAACTAGGAATATAAAAATTATACTTTAACTTAACTCAAGATAATGTAAAGTTAAATTAAAACCCGAAAAAGGTCGGCTGGCTGCAATAATCACAGTGATAAAGAAAGATACGGATCAGATTAGCATGAAGTATAAGTTATAAGAGAAAGCGTACGTCAACAAATAAATCTATTGGAAATAGATTACTTCGGTTTTAATTATTTCTTTTATTTAAAAAAATATAATAAAACCGAAGTATTAGGAGTCAATCATTAATTCCTAATACGGTTTGGGAATAGAAAATAAAGATCTAGAAGACGTTGATGACATTGAAATTGAACCGACAATGAATAACTAGATTTTTTTAAAAAACTTGTGAAATGTCTCGGGTTGAGGTTGTTTAACTACACTACACTCCACTCCCAAATAATTACTTTCGACATTAAGAAAAACGATTTTTCCTTCTATATCAGGATATTTTTTTTTTTACATAAGAGAAACATGTTAATCGTGATTTGAAAAAAAAATTATTAGTTATCGTTAGTATTTATTTTTGTTTGACAATTTTTTTTTGACTAGTGTAGAAAATTCTACCAAAGAAAGAACACGATATTCTAATTTAAACATTTTTTTATCACTGCAAAAAATTGTAAGAATTTAAAAGCGACAATACAAACAAAATTCAGTTAAAAAGAAGATGCTAATCAATTCGTATGAATTGAGTGAAATGAAGAAATAAATTTTATTATTCATTTGTTGCATTTAAGAGAATGTAAAAAATAATTGCAGCAAATGACAAACGTACCTTTGGTCGCTTCCACTCGATGTTACCACGTGTTGGAGCATTTTCGTCAAAAAACAACGAGGAGTTATCAGCTGGAAATTCCGGATCTTCAAAGAGAATATCTTCGTCTCTACATTTTTTGCAGATTTCATCGTAGTTTTGGTTTTCGATTCCAACAAACGGATTCTCTCGTGCTTTCCTTGATGTTCTACCAATGACATGTGCATGGCGTCCACCACCACCGGGCATAAAGGGTATGTGGATCCCAGCGCTTCCACCTTCAGCAGAAGAATCATCGCCATCGTGCTTTCCTCCGCCACCGAAACGGATCGGAATTTTGAAGCCATCAGCACCTCCAAGATTAAAATTGAAACCCCCTTGTCCAAATCCCATGGAAGGTCCACCTCGGCTGAAAGAGTAATGATAAGTTCCGCTACCCGGACCCCCATCAGAGCCGGAAAAAAATGATTTAATTGAACTGGAAAACATAATTCTTATTAATGAATTAAGTTATTTTTCACAATGTTACTGAATTGGAAAGAAAACAATAAAGCGGTCGGGTAATGATTCTAGTAATTTCGCAACTAATCAAAACCAGAAAGTTATTTGCCTTCCTTTGAGTAACTTGTATGACAGAACCTGCGAACTGAACAAACTGTCTTAAAAAAAAAAAAGATATGTCTGTTAAAGGTAAAATCCTCAGATGTATGACAATTCACACCGCTACTAAAACAACTAAATATGCCCAGCCCACAACTTGGAAGTCTTAGTACTTCTACTACTACTACTGCTGTTGTTATTATTGACAGTAGGCAAGTGTCCTTAGCAAGCCGAAAAAGAACTGTATGAGCAGAGAAATATTAACGCAAGTGTTGATAGGCCATGTCCACAGAAGTAGGTAGGTGGATATATAGAACAAGAGGCTATTTTTGTTCTGCTGTAGATTGACTGACACTATTGGGTTGGAAACAAAGTTCCGGCACATCTTTATTTTTATCGTAACTCTTTATCGTTACGATAACTGGAATGCAGTGAAATCACCACAATCTATTTCTTTCAAAAAACTTCCATACTCATGATAATAAAAAGTAGTATCATTGAATATTTCCTCCTTTGTAAGAGGATTTTTTCATGTGATATATCCTGCTATATATAAAAAAAAAACATTACCTTTGGGATACCAGTTTCTAGGTCTGGCAGGTGATAAATGTTTGGCATGCCAATTCATTCAACAGATTTGAACACTGTCCGTTTTAACCTATGGATTTTTAACTAAACCTTCTGTTTAATCTATATAGACATTGTATTATTATCCCATTTCATCTTCCATTTCAGTGAATCTGTTTATTTTTTCTAATTCCGTCTTCCATTTCAATGAATTTGTTTACTTAGTTTAATTGACTACAAGACCACACTAGAAATTTAGATGCTGAAATTTTAGTTTGAACTTTTTGGGGGATTATTTTATGATATGAAATGAAAACTATATCCAAAATCTTGTGCTGAAAACAATCAAAATAAGGACAGTTTACATTTTTGGTTAGTAAAACACATATCCCATTTGAAGAAACTATGATTCTGTGCTTGATATCATCATCTGGTGCGAATCCTATTTTTACCATAATAGACAAGTCATGATCTTTTGACACAAGTACAAATTCTCTAAAAAAATCATACATGAAAAATAAAAATTATTCATTGAAATATTATGCATTTGTTAATTCAAACTCATCAAAGTTATCTGTCTCTTCATTTATAGGAATTTGTCAATAATTGTCAAATTTACCAATTAGCTTATTGTGGTTCTTGTTTTGGTATGTAAAATACATACATATCAAACTAATCTCACAGGGGAAATTTTCCCTCTTTTTGCAATTGCTATATCGATTATCTAAGAAAATTCACATCGTCCTCAGTAAGAGACCCCGGCTACCGGCTTGGCCTGTTATAAGTATAGCCTTGGTCTGAACGAGTATGTTTGTGTGGGTGTCTGTGGGAGTGATCCTCACTATTTAATCCTGCATTATTTTCGACTAACTTATTTCTGCCACAATCAGATTGTGCATTCGTGTGCGTGAGGTGGTGTCTAATACTAACAATTTTTCCTTGTTACTGTAAATATTATTTTTCAACGTAAATATCATATCATTAGGAAGATTTTTAATTGTATATAATTATTATTATTATTATTATTATTATTATTATTATTATCATACCCCTCCACAAAAAAAATATATACACGAGGGACTAGTTAGGATTTCATAGAGAAAGTGTAACATTCTAGTGACAAGTACGAATGATTAGTATAAATGTGAAGTTTTGGTAAAAGAAAAATTATTGAATGAATTGTGACTAGATAGGTTAACTAATATTAACCAACCCTCATCTTCTCCCATTTTCAGGTCGTGGTTTTCATTTGCTGTTTGTTTATTTGTTTGTTGTTTTTACGGTAATAAATATTGTTATTCTGGTGGTCCATACATCTACCACACGCAGTCGTTCCCCACTCTTGTCTGACGGCTAAATAATGCTACTGTTGTCACTGTCAAGTCTGTCTCACTCTCCCCACATCTCTCTACTTTCCTTTCTTTCCTTGTCGAAATTATTTTTTATTTTGCTATCCAGCTATAAATATCCAAAAGTTAACAATCCTATTTCTCAAACTTTGCAGTCAAACATTCAAAATCTTAGAACCGTTGGATCAATAAACTCTTGGTAAACATCTTTTGACGGTTACCAACAGTTTATTGAGCTGACGGATCAATAAACTCTTGGTAAACATCTTTTGACGGTTACCAACAGTTTATTGAGCTGACGGAGAATTTTTTTAATGCTTAGTGTACGTCTGCTAATTATGAGAAATAGGATTGTTAACTTTTTGGATATTTGTAGCTGGATAGCAAAACAAAATAATTTAGAAAATCGATTTATAACAAATAACAAATTTATTTATCTGCATACATTACGCTCTTTAGATTTTTAAACAGAATAAAAAGAAATGTATTGAAATTTCTTTGTCAATATTCCTTTCTTTTGTGTGCAAGGAAGAAAATACATTTTTGTATTAATTCGACTTGTAAAGTCCGTAAAATCAGATACATTTCAAAGTAGGTTGAGTTGATTTGAAAGTGATAAAGAGAAGAAAGGCACAATAAAGTCATGGTGGTTCGAACAAAACGGTATGTCGCCTGTATGATCTGGCTAATTGTGTTTGCTATGCTATTAATTTGTCCTTATAAAATCGGCTTCTATAAAAGTGACCCAGACAGATGTGTTTAATTTGCTTTTCAGGCTTTTCATTTGCAGCAGTTAAAGACCAACGAAACTTCTTTATTAAGGATTAATTATTTTAACTTATTTTTTCTATATTTTAGACAGAGCATTTTACTGGTTTCCGGTAAGTATTTAAATATAAATTGTCCAATGCCTGTGTACTTTCGACTTTCATAAACCATTATCAAAGTTTTTTTTTTTTTTTTTATGCTATATTGGTTTTCTTATTTTCAAATATAGCTTCTTTGCATCTTTGCGTAAGAGTTGTTTTTTTTTTTTTTGGTGAGATTAATGAAGTATGCTTGTTCTTAAATTTGATAACATTTTTCATGACTACAAATAGTGAAAGCATTAAAACTTTGAATATTTGTATTCATATTTTGATTTATGTGATATAGTATTTTTGTACTATTAGCAAGGTTTTGTCGGATTTTGTATTTTTTTTTTTTTTTGGTGATATGCGATGTAATTGATCTATTGTCAGATAAATGGCAAGTCAGTGGGCGCGATGATGTAGTGGTTGTGAAATCAATGAGTGCGTTGTTTCTGTAACAGTCGCCGAAGGGCCTGTTTTCTAAGCCTGGCCTATTTAGTAGTAGTATGGTAGCAATATTAATAGCGTTCAAATTACGAGAATATTTTTTATGTTCTGTGAAATATAAAAATAGTCATTTGTCCCTTGTATACACATATGTTTAACTGTAATTTTCTGCTACCTGCTATCTTTTACCTGCTACCTTTTAGGTAAGGAAAGAAGCACGTGTTTCCCTTTTTTTTCTTTTTTTTTTTTTTAGTTACTGTTGATCTACGAGGCCATATAGTAATTATCTGCTCCCTACAAAGTTTGAAATTCTTCTCTAAGACAACATTTCTTTGAGTTTGTTTCAAATTGTGCATTTCATTTAAATGTACTTTGTCCGTTTCCATTTTGATGGAAATATTTATTTCTAGTTTGCAAGGTGTATTTCTAAATAAAAGTATAACATGAGTATGAATTAAGGACTTTATTTCTTGAGACCAGTATAAAATTACAGTTTGAATGATTATTAGAAAAAAAAAAGTCCTCCAAGTGGGCAAGCGAGTTCATAAACAATGTTATTTGCTGAAATTTTGTTTTTTTGTATCATTGGTTGTGAACATTTTTTTTTTAACCTTTTCTCATAAATGATGAGTTTAATTTTTATCGTTAGGCCATATGTGTCTATGTATTATTAGGTTTCTTATATTTTTTCGTCTAATTTGTGGTTACGGTCTACTTAGTTTACTTACAGTATTTTTTGTGCTATTTATTATTTGTATTATTTTTGTTTTTATTTTTTCCAATGTTTGTTTAAATTATTTTTCGATTTTGTAGTTAGATAAATTATTGTTAACATTTATTTTATATTTCTAAGTTCGTTATGAAATATTGTGTGCGTAGAGAATATTAAATGTGTTCTATTTATTAGATTATTTGTGATGGCTATTTTGTATGTGCGTGTGTCAGTGTTGTAGTTAAATAGGCATGGGGTTGAGTTGTTTTTTTTTTTTATATATGAACGGAGGTTCTAAAATTTTCATTATTCAAATCATTACGTCTAAAATGGGGATTCTGTTATTTATGTTTAGTTAATATAAGAGATTAAGGTCGGAGTTTTTTTCTAAGATTGTTCTCAGATTTTTCTTAGTGAGTCGAAAGAACTTAAGGTTCCATGTAATAAATCATTTCACCACATCCCTTTTAAATGACTCTGGATCATCAGACTTTACTTCCAAAGGTTGAAATTAAATATATATATATATATATATATATATATATATATATATATATATATATATATATATATATAAAACAATTAGGAAAATCTTTATCATTTAAACAGCAAAACATTTTTTTTTATCTGGTTTCGCCGGAAATTTTGGAAATGGAATAATATGAAGTTATGTTTCAATTTTTAAATTCTGTTTGTTTTGTTTTGATCGGTTGTGTGGCCGTC